CAGTGCAGTTCAGCTAAGAGCGCTGGAGACGTGATGCCAGCTTCGAATCCCGCTGAGGACCCCAGTAGGTGAGGCTGCTGGCTTTTCCTTCCCTGCCACCATTTAGAGACCCTTTACTATAGTCAATCTTTCATTCATCAGCCCTCCTTCCTCCCTGCCGCTTTTCCCTCCCCACTTCCTCTCTTTCCCCGCTTTGCCAGGGCCTTCACACTGACATTTCTATCCTTTTTTTTTTTGGTACCAGGGATCGAACTCAGGACCTTGCCCTTGCAAGGCAGGTGGTGGAACCACTGAGCTAAATCCCTGGCCCCATTTCTATCCTTCTTTCAATTTTTTTTCAGACAGGATCTTTCTAAACTACCCTGGTGAGTCTTGAACTGTGGCTCGGGAGCCTGTCTCCTGAAGTGCTGGGATTATAGGTGTGCAGCTCTATATGCGCTATAATTCAGTTTTCAGAGCCCAGTGGAGTGGGTGTGGAACTTACATGGAACCCTTAGGTCTTCCCTTCTACAAACTTAGATTCAGCCACTGACTGCCAGCTCCTTGCTTCTTTTCTTCTCTGTCACCCTCTACCCATGAGAACCCGAGAGTTTCATGATCCTCATCGTGGAAGGCACATTTATTGCAAATTTCAGCCCATGGAAAGCAAAGGGATGCTACTTAATCCAGTTACCTCGGCAAATATCTACCTCATACTTGTCCTTGGATCTCATGGAACCCAAGTCTAGCAGAAGCTGTGGCAGGAGAAACTTGCAGTTTCACTCAGGCATTTGTTCTAGCAGTGCCCAGCCACTGTGCCCACCAGGACAGGGTGAGGAGGGAACGCCAGCCAAGTGTGGTGGCGCACGCCTGTAACCCCAGCACTTTGGAGACTGAGGCAGGAGGGGTGCTGCGAGTTGAAGTCCAACCTGAATTACAAGACCCTGTCTCAAAAAAAAAAAAAAAGAGCAGTGACAGGTAGATCTCTGGATGAGTGGGAAGGGAATATATGTCAGGAAATGGAGATGCAAGTAGAGGCAAACAACTTACTCAGGGGTAGCAAGTAGCTCAACCAAAAGATAATTTGTCTGGCTACAGCACAGAAAATATCTAGTGTCATAAGAGACTGTATTGTAGGATGTGGATTTGTCCCCAGGTATGATCCAAACCACTTGGTCTAAGTGGAGCCTAACTACTACTTCTTTTAGTACCGGGGATTGAACTTGCTGAAACCACTGAGCTAAATCCCTGGCACTCTAACTACGATTTTAACTCCTGGAGGAATTTCCAGCATTGAAAGAGAGAAGTTTAAAGAACTCATGCAGAACATTGAAATGGAGGCAGATTGTCTCACGGGGCTTTTCAGGGCTGGTCAGCTAATTTGAGACAGAAGCCATGTAACACTTCAAGCCAGCAGGTTCTGCAGCTGCTGGCTTAAGGGCAGACATCCCTCTGAACATCTGCATCTCACAAGTTAGGGGACCCCTCCTGCCCAGGCTCCCCGCAGGTGGCTTCCCTACCCTTAAGAGCACAAGCAGTCTTTCTTTAGAGTTGGAGCTCAGGAAGCTGGTACCTGTATTCTGGGCCAAAATTATCACAGAGCTGCCTGATCCATCTACATGCTATGTGCTAATCAAGCCTGCCGGCTGCTCGTGAGAAAACAAGTTTTGCACCCTGCAGAGCAGATTGCCACCTTCTGACTTTCCTCCTGTGGGACACAGTTCATGAAAACAGAGTTTGATTCAGGGTTGTTATTTTTTCCTGCCGATTTAGAAGTGGGAAAGGAAGGAGGCAGCGTTTCCTGGGTATACCAGAAAGCCCAGCCTTCAGAACATAAGGACAGTACTGTCCAGAACTGGGGACTGGCCAGGTGTGTGGGGTGAAGGCAAGGGGGACGAGGCCCAGCTAGTGGCCCAGCTGGTGGGTGGGGTGCAAGTTGTCAGGGCCATGAAGATGTATGCACATCCAGGCACAATCTGAAAATGGGTGTTGCTTTCTGATGCCAAAGGGGCTAGCTACTGCCTAGTTCTACTCTGATTATGAAAGACCTTTAAAAGCCATTTTCATCTAAAAGCACTGTCATTATTTTCACTTTTAGCTTCTCAATTATCTCTGAGGTGTGAAGTTATCTTATAATCAAACCCCCATGTAAAAGATTAACTGCCCTACCCATTAAGAGCCCATCAGGCTGGTGACTCTTCTAGCTAATTGACTGGAACATTCACTTTGATTTGGGGACAGGGAGTTTTTTTGGGGTGGCAGGGATTGGTTGTATGGAGGACCTCTGTGCTGAACTACATCCCCAGCCCTTTTTATTTTTTGACAGGGTCTAAGTTGCCCAAGTGGGGCTTGCCCTTGTGATTCTCCTGCCTTAGCCTCCTAGAGTGCTGGGATTATGGTATGCACCACCATGCCTTGCTAGGAAGGGACTTCTTACTTTTATCTTTAAATTTCATCCATAGCAGTATCAAGGATTGTGAGCTACTGAGAAAAACTGTTCTTTCAGGGTCACTGCTGTCCTTGGTGACCTGTGCCATCCCATCCTGCTACATTGGGCCTTTTCCTAATGCTTTTGGAAGTGCCACAGCCTTCACATCCATGCCATCCCAGGTCAGCACACTTCAGTCCGTGTGGGAACAGAACTACGATGGCTGTGCAGGGATCAAGTGAGATGTGGTTCAGAGCTGGTGCCTCACAACCCTGCAGACGTGCAGAAAGCTGCTGGCATAGCCAGTGACTTCGGCTGTGGCACGGGGGCCCAAGAGGTACAGTTGTGGGCTGTGCAAACCGCACCCCACCCCCATTCTGGCTAAGCAGACATGGCCCCACCTAGGTTGCTTCCAGAAGCCCTCCTGCCAGCACCTGGTTATCCTTGATGCGTGCCCTGACCTACAGTCCAGGGGCAGCAGCTGGTCCTGCAAGGGATCCTAGTGGTACCAGGGCAAATGTCTAGTGGCTTCACTCTCAGGTCACTAAGGAAGAGCCCCCCCAGAGCACACGGAATCAGCTGTCATTTTCCTCTGCACAGCTGAGGGGCCTGGACTGCTTCCTTCTCTTAGGCCCTGCCTGGCCACAGACGAAGCCCATGTGCTTGGTCAGCTCCCAAGATGCGCTTTGGAGAGAATGCAGCCTTTCCCAAAAGGGAGCTTCAGCCATCAGCAGGTACTACATTCCTGAAGAGCAGCGCTTACAGCTAAGACCAGTGAGAAACTAGTTGTGTGAACATGAGACAAGGCATGACACCATCGGTGGACTAAAAGCCATTCCGCTGAGTGCCAAGGAAGTGCCCCGATCTCATCGCCCTCAGGGAGAGTGCCTACCAGCTGGTGTGGTCAGGACCAGGTCCAAACAGCAAGCTTAATCACAGTGAGTCTCAGGGCGCACGGGAAGGGGCCTCCCCTAAGAGTCAAGGACGCACGGCGGGGAGCACAGAGAGCCCAACAGCCAACCCTGAAGCTGGTGCTGGGCAGCACCTAGGACTGGGCCAGGCTGGGGCCAGACTGTGGAAAGCTTTAACTGTCAGACTGCAAGATTTATCAAGGGAAGTGAAATGATCAAACAGGTGTTTCAGGAAGATAAATTTGAAGAGAATGTGCAGGATGAATTGGAAAATCTGGAAGCATGGCAACAATTAGGAGGCGGTGAGATTAATTAGACTGTTGCAAGAGTCCTGTGTGGGTTGATAAGGGTGTAAATGAGCAGAGTGGAGGCAGGAATGGAAAAGGGACAGCTGTGAGAGACAGTGTTAAGAAAGAATGGATGAGGTTTGCTGCTTGATTGGATTGGGGACCCAGGGAGCTCAAGGAATCACAGACTGAGCGTGGGCAACTAGCAGGACGATGATGAGAGAGGGGTATCGGAGGACAGAGTGGGTCTCAGCAAAGGCAGCCTCAGTTTCAGGTGTACACAACTGCTGGACTGGGATGAGGAGAGAAGTGCCGGGTGCCGGGTGATGAGCACAGCAGAGGGGAAAGGAAGTCGTGGGATGAGAGGTAGTGAAGGAAAAGCGTGTAGAGAGAGAAGCCCATGGAGGCCCACGGATCCGTAGCATTGGGGAAAAGAAATCTGAATATTTGGACTAAAAGCTACCTTCAGCCCTATAAAGAAAAAAAGACCTTTTCTCTTTATATAGTACCAAAATTTTCTTAGCACTTTTAATAAAGTATATGCAACTGTACAGTTTAAAAGCATAGCAATTGTTAGTATGGCCCTATATTTGGCATATTTCAACGATACTATCTTAAAATCTCATAGCAAACAGATTTAACACATAGCAAAAGCAACTAAAAGCTCCTCATTTGGGCATCAACTTTTAAAATACAGGAACTTTTTGAAAACTTCTTGAAAAATTTACAAACTATACAAAATGGATGCATATACTGTACTCGAGAAGACATTGGTTTTAGATATTTCCAAGTTAACATAAAAGTGATGGGAACAATCTCCCTTAGTCCAGAAAATACATGCAACTACTAGCAGCTACTTCTCATAACTTGGTACCTTTCCACTCTCTAGGTATTTTGAAAATACTGTTATCTAAAACCTTTAAATGAATAGGACATCACCAGGATCTTAAAGAAAGGAACTTTAAAACCCAGTTAATTCTGCTAAGTTTAACCCAAGAGTTGACTTTTTTTTTTTGGAGACAGGGTCTCATGTAGTCGAGGCTGGCTTTGAATTCCCCATGTAGCTCAGACTGGCCTTGAACTCAAAGTGATCCTCCTGCCTCAGCCTCTGGACTGCTGAGATTATAGGCACACACCACCACACCCCAGTCAAAAGTTGACTCTTTAAAATGCCAATGCCAAGTCTCTTCTGGTAATCTTTAAAACATATATCTATGTTTTATATATATTAATACATTACTATAGCCGGGCATGGGGGCACACACCTGTAATCCCAGCACTTGGGAGGCTGAGGCAGGATGATCGCTGTGTGTTTGACACCAGCCTGGGCTACATAGTGAGTTCCAGGTCAGTCTCAAAACTACATAGTGAGACCCTGTCTCAAAAAACAAAACAAAACAAAACAAAACAAAACAAAACATAAAAACATTACTTAAAAATTAATTTCATTTGTTTAAATACAGGCTTTAGATTGATTTGCAGATTACTGGAGGATTACAGAGATAAGATCAGCACGTTTTCTTTTAAGTACGTGCACTGCTAAATAACACAACTAAAATCCATTTTTGAGTGGAAGAATCAGGTGGATAATGCTTATTTGGAGGTTACAATGAAAAAAGCTATTACATTTATTTAACCAAGAGAAATCGCAAATTTCGCATTAAAAAAACAGTTCAGTGTTGTGACTTTTTATCAACTCAAATTTTTGAAAGATACACATTCCTTGGAGCAGAAGATACAGGACATATTTTCACAAGAAAATGGTATACTAGCTCATTTTCTGTTAAATCTCTCACATACATATGTAGCTTATTTCAGAAGAGACAGTGGCTAAGAGATGCTTAGATCCAACTTCTTCTGGTTTAATAAAAGCCCCAACATTTGGAATTAAATGATCCATTACTCGCCAAAAATCCATAAAATATTTACACCAGACAGACCAAGATTAACTCTCCTGTAAAGTGAAAAAAATAGCTTTAGTAAAATTGCTTGTCAAGCATGTAAGGTCTTTTTCTAATAATGAAAAATAGAATCTTTGTAAGAAATGTTTAATTGATGACATTTAATGCAATTATGCAATAAAATGTTACATACATGGTTTATCAGGTGAATTGTTTTTTTGTTTACTTTCTTAAATGCTTAAAATCTAAGTTTAGAGTAAACAGATTTATGGAACGTTGAAAATTAACTTTAAGAACTATCACATCAGATAATAAAAGTAATGGAATAGTTTTAGTAAGATTAGAGTATGCCTTAATTTTTTTCTTTTATTGTTTTTGTACCGGGGATTAAACTTGGGTCTTTGTGCTTGAACTTGGGTCTCTGCGCTTGCGAGGCAGGCAGCGAAAACCATTGAGCTAAATCCCTGGCAAGTATGCTTTAAATTTTAAAAATGGCTGGGCCTGGTGGAGCACGCCTATAATCACAGCATTTGGGAAACTGAGGCAGGAGGATCACTGGGAGTCAGAGACCAGTCTAAAGTACATAAGACCCTGTTTCAAAAAACCAAAAACTAAAACAAAACCACACTGTCAACCAAACAAAACAAAGTAGTCCTTTAAGATAGTTAAGAATAACTACAAAACAATATATTTATGTAATATAGAAACTTCTGTCTTCTATATTACATCTAACAAAAAGTATTTATGTATATACATATTTACAACTAATTATTCCTAGAAAGTAGAAATACATGTTTACTGACATTGAAAAATGTTCAAGATCTACTGTAAGATTAAAACATCAGATCTCAGAGTAGTAAGTTTGGGAATAAAACATTTTTAAGCAGAGAAAAACAAGCGATTTGCTCAGAAAACAGTCTGGAGATGTAAATCCAGCACTGTTAACCCCTACCCTATGGGAGGTGGGCAGAGGATGAGCAGAAGGGCATCTTCACTTTCTACTTTGTACCCTGCTTTATGGCTTAAATATTTCTCTACCAGACATATTATTTTTATAATAAAAAATGCATGAAGAATCATGTTTGTTAAGTTAAATGGCTCACAAAAGTGATTTTCCTATTTAATCTTTCTTGTACGAAAAGTATGCATGATAAGAGAGGCTGGTAAATGGTCATCAATTTCTGTTCATGTCTGTCTAATAACTTTTTGTGTGTGTGTGGCGGGGGTGGATGTGAGGAGTTCAGGACCAGGCTTTGGACTTGTGGTGATCCTCCTGCTTCAGCCTCCAAAGTGCTGGGATTACAGGACTGTGCCACTACACCTGGCCTGTTTTGTACCTTTTGAATCTAATATATTTAAGGACAGGAGTTTTTGTTTCTCAGAACATTACTGTCCAATAGAAGCATAATATAATGTGGACCTCAAATACAAATCACATACATAACACTGAATTTTCTAATAGACCTTTAAGGAAGAAGAAGCAGATGAAATTAATTTTAAGACTATATTTAACCTGATATATCCAAAATAGTATTTAGGTGTCTAACTAATATATAAATTATAAAAATACTTGTTTTAGTATTGTGCCTGTGAAATGTGGTATATATTTTACATTGCAGGCATCTCAATTCAGGCTCGCCATGTTTCAAGTGCCCAACAACTATTGTAGTGGACACTGCAGTTCTGGAACACACACAACCTCTAAATCATGAACAAGATGGCCAGTGTGGGTCACACCTATAAACCCAGCACATGGGAGGCTGAGGCAGAAGGATCACTTTGAGTTTGAGGCCAGCCTGAACTACATAATGAGACCGTGTCCAAAACCAAGCAGACAGGCAGAAAAACACAAGAAAGAGGGCTGGGGATTTAGCTCAGTGGTTCTGGCGTCTGCCTTGCAAGCACAAAGACCCGAGTTCGATCCCTGGTACCAAAAAAAGAGAAAGAAAGAAAAACAGACAGACAAACACTCAAACAAAACATTTTAACAGAGATTCTTGTCAGAAGTGCAAGTGACCACAGACCCAGATGTCCTCTCCTTTGAGCCCTTCCCTACACTGTCAGACTTGAGTGCTAGTACAGCAGGGCTGGACCCAGAACAAAGGTCTTCAGACTTCTGGTCACACATTACCAGATTTTCCCAGCTTCAGCAGGGATACACCTACTTGAAATATTATTTGGTGTACTAAAATCATCAAAATGATAATAATGAAAGTTTGAGCCTGCTATATGAGTTTTGCTACTAAGTATGTAAATGACTTTAACAGACTATTTTCCTTCCTTAGTTAACAGTATTTTGGGATAGGCACCCTTTTCTCCAGATGTATAAACAATTTTCAGAATACTTTGTTTGAAATGGAACAGCTCAGAACAAAATAGATTCAAGGTTTTGTTTCGTATTTTAATTTTCAATCAGGCGAGAGCTTGAATTTTTTGTTTGCTTTTTGAGACAGAGTCTCACTGTGTAGTTCAGGCTGGCCCTGAACTCTTGGGATATTCCTGCCTCAGCTGGTGTGCCCACCATGCCTAGCCTAAGAGCCTAGTTTCTATCTCTCAGGGTTGTTCCTCCAGGAGATGCAACTAGAAAGTCCATGATATGGTTCAATTGCCCTTTATCAATTGGGAAATGGAGGGTCTGAGTAGTTACAGAACTTGCCAAAGACAGAAGAGCCCACTAGTGACAGGGCTGAGGTAAAACCAGAAGCCATATCCAGCGTTCAGTCCACAAATCTTTTGCTGTATGATGCTACCTTTCACAGGACCTTAATGTAGGAAGAACAACAGCAAATAAAGTACATATATATATATATATTGAGACAGGATCATCCTATGGTCTTCAATTCATTACGTAGCCCAAGAGGGCTCAAACTTGAGGTATCCTTCTGCCATGACCTCCTGAGTGCTAGGACAGGTATGTATCTCTATGCTTGTTAGGACATACATTTTTTAAAAGTTAAAAAAATTTTTTTTCTTAAGTACATATTTTTAAAGCATACTTACCCAAGCATTCCTGACTCTTTTGTCTTTATAATATAGAGGAACATTAATAATGTATGAAACATATTATTTCTGCCCTAGAACCAAGACAAAAAAGACAAGACTTAAAACTGAAAAGATTCAACCAGGTAGGTAAATGCAGATCTAAACAATTCACATCCAACAACTCAACATTTCCATATAGTTCAAATTTTCACTAACAAAGTAGCTATCCTTTCAGCTAGGAAGTGAGAACATCAGGGCAGATAAAGAAATAATTCTGAAAATCAAGGAATTTAAATCTAGCAGAAAAGGCAGACAGTAAACTAAGGGGCCCAACAGAGCATGAGGCATCTTTTTCACAGGGGTGTAGGATGCCACGGGAGCAAAGGAAGGCATGTTCTCTAGACTGCTGAGGCAAGGAATGCCATGCCTCTGCCTGCCTCTCTGCCTCTCTGCCCCTGTCTCCCTCCTCTCCTCCGTCCATCCACCCACCTATCCATCCATCTATTGTTTTGGTTTTTTGAGACAGGGTCTCATTATGTTCAGGCCGGAGTTAACTCACTATGTAGCACAGACTGGCCTTGAACTTGCAAGTAATCTTCCTGCCTCAGCCTCCTGAGTGCTGAGGTTACAGGTATGTGCCATGCCTGGCACAAGACTTTAAGACCTGAAACACAAACAGAAAGCTAACACACTGGGTAGATCTCACAAGTGGGAACAGCATCTAGTAAGGCCTAGAGGACAGCTATTCTGAAGTTGGTGTCCCTGTGCACTACACACAAAAAACGCCATATCCCAGCTGGGTATGGTGCTGCACACCTATGTGTGGAGTCTGAGGCAGGAAGATCACAAGTTTTGAGTCCAGCCTGGGCTACTGAGTGACATCCTGTCTCAAAATTATAAAAATTAAAAAGGGCTGTGCCCTCAGTGCAAAGGCTGTGTGGGTACTCTCTCTAGTACTGCACACACAAAAAAAGCTCTTTCCACAATACTAACACATCAATAAGAGCGTTAGGATAAAAGAGCTTTTAGTCATACTTTAAAATAAATGTTAAAAACAAGCTATTTCATCTATAAGGAACTCTTGGTATCAACTGCTAGCTCTAAAATCACACTACTATATATAATTATTGGGCTACAAAAATAGCTAATTTACGTTTTCAATTTACCAAATAACTTCCAAGATTTAGCTATTATAAATTGTGCTGCTATAAACATTATAGTTACTTTTAAAACGGTATAAGACCACATAAGTAATTTCAATCCATAAAAAAACAGAAAGATCAAAATAAAATTTTCTATAAGGTAATAAATAAATCAAATATTAACCATGGCTACCTCTGAATAAGTGATTTTTCTTCACTGTTTTTTGGGTTTTGGCCACACTAGGGATTGAAGCTAGGGCTTTTGCACTGAGCTACAGCACTACTCTTTTATTTATTTTTAATTTTACTTTTAATTTTAAGATAGCATCACACTAAATTATTCAGGCAGGGCTGGAACTTGGGATTCTTCTGCCTCAGCCTCCTGGCATATTGGAATTATAGGTGCATTCCACCACACACGGCTTTTTTCTTTATACTATCCCAAACTAAAATACTACTTTTATAGTAAATAGACAGGAATGTAAAAGAAACACATTTTTCCTAATTTGAAAAGCTTAATACTTTTCTACAAACAGGAGATTCTAATTTTAAAAACAACATCAAAGTGAGTCATCCATGACATTGTCTAACAGCAACTTCTATATACAGAAATACCTTTGGAAGATTGTACACATGACGCTGGTAGATGAGCTCATAATGTGGGGGGTTGATAGCACTCTGATAAATGCAAAAAACATTCTCATTTGTAACATCTGTAAAGAAGATACCTTATATTAAAAAATGGAATCACTGGATTTCATGTGAAAAACTCAACATGATCTTTCAGAAGTTTATACCTGGCTTATTGGGTGTCTGCACAAAATGCTGAGAAGTAAATGTTTTTCCATCAGGGTACTTAGGGTGTGGAGGTAATCTGGAATCGAGGTAGGTGCAAAATACATGCATGATGATCTGAAGGTGAGCAAACAGTTGTGCAAAGTTAGCAGGAATCTAGCATGGGTGCAACACTTTAAACATCTATAAAGATTCCAATTTTAACTTTTTACTTTTTTGGGGGGACCGAGAATGAACTTGGGACTTTACACTTGGGAAGCAGGCAAAATCCTTGGCTCTTAACATATTTTCTTAAAGAGGGAATTAATAAAAATCCTTTCAAGTGGTTATTTAAAATAAAATTTATGGAATGAAAGATAAAATCACATAATCCAGGCTAGAGAAGTTGGCTCAGTTATACAGCGATTGCACTGCAAGGCCTGGGTTTAATCCCCAGTACTGCAGGAAAAGGGGGTACATAATGGAGATAATATATCTATTCTTTTCATTGTAATTATTATTTTCAATAAAGTACTCACAAATATAATCTTTCCCTTTCAAATCTTAAAGAATTCAGTGTGTTTTAACAGATATGACTAGGCCTACTTAACATGATTAACTCAAAATTTAAATTGAAAAACTTATTTGCCATCAAAATAACCTACTTGCCCACCGGCCCACCCATCCATCTGTTTATCCAACCATCCATCCACCTCTTTTTGCTTACTGGGGATTGAATTCATGACTTGCAACATGCTAAGCAAGTGCTCTATTATGTACCTATACCCTCAGACCTTTTTATCTTTTAATTGCCTAGGCTGGCCTTGCATTTGTGGTCCTTGTGCCTCAGCCTCTCAAGTAGCAGAGATAATAGGAATGCACCACCACACCTGCTAAATCAGTCTATATTTTGATGGGAAAGTTTACTCTTCTACATGTGAAAAGAAAAATGCAATATGTCAGTCTACAAAGTAACCAATTATGTGTGGGAGAATGGGACACATGGGATGGGGCAGTTTAAACACTAAACTTCTACTCCCTAAATATTTACCTTCATTTTTTTATAGCAATCCTAGAAGAGCAGGTTCTTGTTTTCTGGTAAAGGGATCAATCATACCACCCATACAGTTAACAGCAAAAACAAGATAAAAAACACATATATTCAATTCTCAATTTGAAAGTCAACATTTAAAAGTTAATTATAGTTACTATACAGGATATAAAAAAATCCACATTTAAAAATCAACTTTTCTATACATCAATAATGAAGCAGCAAAAAAAAAAAAAAAATCAAGAAAACAATCCCATTTGCAATAGCTTAAAAAAATACATATATATATATATATGTATGTTAACCTTACCAAGGAGGTCAAAGATGTCTACAATGAAAACTCCAAGCTGGGTGTGGTGGTGCACATCTATAATGCCAGCTGTTTGGGAGGCTGAGGTGGGATGATTATTTTGAGTTCGAGGCCAGCCTCGGCTCCACGGTTCAAGGCCAGCCTACACTACAAAGTGAGACCCTGTCTCAACACACACACACACACACACACACACACACACACACACAAAGAAAGGAAAAGAAAATTACAGAATAGTGAAGAATTGAAGACTAAGAAGATAGACTGCCTATGTCCATGTTCAGATATTGGCAGAATATTAAAATGGCCATATTACCAAAAGCAATCTAGAGATTTGATGCATTATCAATTAAAATCCCAAGACATTTCTTTACAAAACTAGGAAAAAAAATCTTAAGATTCATTCAAAAGCACAAAAGACCTGGAGCAGCCAAAGCAATCCTAAGAGCAACAAGAGCAAGGCCAAAAACATCACAATTTCAAAGCCACAGTAACAAAAGCAGTATGTTGTGGGCACAAAACTAAACACACGGACAAATGAAATATAAGAAAGGACACAGAAACACAACTACAGACATCTGATTCCCAATAAAAAAGAAAAAATGTTAGAGAAACAACAATGTCTTTCACAATTATGCTGAGAAATTGGATATCCACATGCAGAAGACCGAAACTACATCTCTATCTCTCATCCTATACAAAAATCAATTCAAAATGGATCAAAGACATACATATAAGGCCTGAAACTTTGAAACTGCTAAAAGAACACAGTAGCAACACTTGAGGCCATAGGCACAGGCAAAGACTCCCTTAATAGCACTCCAACAGCATAGGAAATAATGGCAAGAACCAACAAATGGAGATACAGCAAATTAAAAAGTTTCTGCCCAGCAAGGGAAACAACCAACTGATGATTAGTTGCCTAAAGAACTAAAACAAAAAAACAAAAAAACAAAACACCAAAGAAGCAATAGCCCAATCAATAAATGGGCAAATCAATTAAATAGATACTTCTCAAAAGAAGTACAATTGGCTAAAAAGTGTATGAAAAAATTTTAACATTTGTAGCCATGAAGGAAATGCAAGCCCAAACTACACTGAGATTCTGTCTCAGCCCAGTCAGAGTGGCTATCATTAATATGAGGGTGGGACTGGGGCAGAGAGGGCCAGGCATGGTGGCATAGGCTGTGATCCGAGTACCTGGGAGCCTGAGGCAGGAGGGTCAAAAGTTGGAGCCTACCCAGGCATGGTGCTGGTGCACGCCTGTAATCCCAGCACTCGGGAGGCTAAGGCAGGAGGATTGCTGTGAGTTCGAGACCAGCCTGGGCTACATAGTGAGTTCCAGGTCAGTCTCAAATACATAGTGAGACCCTGTCTCAAAAAAAAAAAGAAAAGTTTGAGCCTAACTTAGCAAAAAACTAAAAAGGCAAGGAATGAATTGCAGTGCAAAGACCCTGGGTTCTTAGCACCAAACAAACAAACAAATCCCAATAAATGTTGGCAAGGGGTGGGGGCGCTGCAGGAATTCTTTTACACTGCCGTTGAGAATGTACTATTCACTATGGAAATCAGCATGGAGGTTCCTCAAAAAACTAAGAATAGAACTAACACCCCGTTGTATATACCCAAAGAAATGAAACTCAGCATACTATCAGGATGCCTGCACACCCATGTTTACTGTGGCAAAATTCACAACAGCCAAGATATGGACCAGCCTAGGTGTCCAAAAGAAGATGAATGGATAAAGGAAATGTGGTGTAGACAAAGGAGAACAAAATTATGTCATCTGCAGGAAAATGGATAGACTGGACCATGTTTTCCCTAATATGTAAAATCTAAAAAAGATGACATTAAATAGAAATTAGACCAAGGGGAAGGAAATACAGTAAAGTGGGATAGAAAGGAGTAAATGGAAGAGAGAGAAAGGATTCAAACACAGTTATTATGTGTTTATGAAATCATGATGCTGACGTGAATTTATTGAGGCAAAATCTGTTAACAAAAGGATACAAAACAGTATACATGGCACTGCCGAATTTTAAAAAATGCATGAATGTATAGAGATACCAACAATTTGCCTAGAATGTTGTTCACTTAACTGTATTGATCTGTCCCTGAGAGTGAGATGCTGCATATATTTTTTATTTTTGTTTAGGAGGGTTTTTTTAGTTGTCCTGTTAGAAGATGTTTCTATGTGGAGGAAATTAAAATTGCTTTAAGTATGTGAGGGGATTATGTTAATTAGCTTGGTTGCAGTAATCATTCAACAATATGTGTGTATCTCGAAATGTGATATAAACTGAAGGTATATATAATTTTGCCAATTATACTCAATAAAAAGATAGAAATACTATAAAAAAAACCCATGATTTTGAAAACTTAAATGCACAAAAACTCTTATGCTCTTTGATTTGGTAAATCTGACACTAGAAATTCTGAGATAATCCCAAATAAGAAAGAACTATACATTGTGCTATTTCTTGCCATATTATTTAGGATAGAAAAACAAAAATCCCTTGCCTTTCCAAGTTTCCCAATCTTTAAGTCTAACATAGGAGAACAGTTTGTGACAGCATGTAATAAAGGGAAAAATACTGAAGTATTGCAAAGTGGAAATGAAAAAGTGCAAAATACATAAATTTACAGATAGGATGATTACAATTATGATAAAAGCATTAAAAATGCAAAGGGAAAAATGCATACAAATATTAGCAATGGATGGGTTAAGATGCTGGTACTATACTACCATAATTCATTATGTGGAGCTTGGTTTGAAATTATTTTTTCATTCTTATTTTTATAATGGAAAAATTAACACACATGTCTCTAACAGCAATAGTAATAACCTAAAAAAAAATACATGTAGGGGGCTGGGCGTGGTGGCGCACACCTGTAATCCCAGCACTCGGGAGGCTGAGGCAGGAGGATCACTGTGAGTTTGAGACCAGCCTAAGCTACACAGTGAGTTCCAGGTCAGTCTCAACTATAGTGAGACCCTGTCTCAACCCCCCCCCAAACAAAACAAAACAAAACAAAAAAACAACAAAAACCAAAACAAAACAACCCCCCAAAAAACATGTAGGGACTTACAGCAGAATCGGTGGGTAGGTCAGTATCCCACTTCCGTCCTTTGAAGTCTCCACCTCTGTTCCATCGAAATGAGCTCATGCAGCCTCCTTGAGAAAGTTCTGTGCAACAAGAGTAAAATTTAAAAAACTAAACATCTGTAAAAGAAAACGATAAGGAACTCCAAATAGGGAAAGCACATCATGTTAAAAACCTGGTCAAAATACCCACAGTAAAGAAAGACAAAATATAAAAGATCAAGTTAAATATCATTATGAAGACTCACATAAAGCCAAAATGTGGGACAAATCTATCATTATGGATTTTCAAAAAGTCACTGGATTGGAAAATCTGAGTAGGGATTATCTATTCAGTAGTATTACAGAGCTGCTAAATTTTAAGGGATGGTAACTGCATTACAGTAATCTACAAGCATGTTCTTCTCTTTCAGACAAAAGGCATACTGAAAAGCGATGTTTCCAAAGCACATCCAAACAGTACAGCAAAGAGGCATGCGCACACACTTAGGGACAGAGTCAGATATGGTGTTCACTGTATTGTTTTAATAGTTTTTTTGTACAACTGATATATATTTGGGGGGTGTCCCAGGGATCGAACTTGGGTCCTTATGCTGTGAGACAGGCAGTGGAACCATTGAGCTAAATCCCCGGCCTGATAATTATTATATTTTAAAAATTGTGTGTGCACACACATACTTTTTGGATGAGCAAAACCTCGCTACAGGCAATCTTGCCAAAATATCTGAACCTACGCTTATAGCAAATAAACAAGACAGAAGGGTGTGTAAAACTATACAGTGGATTTATTTAGCAAAACCCAGACTGTGGGAAACCATGGGACAAACACTCTGATTTTTCTGACAAATACAGTGCAACGGTGGGGGGCCGGGAAGTGCAGGCCAGGAAGCCTATACTTAAACCTCTTAAATACAATGACTTACTTGAATGTCAATTTAAGCAGTACCAACAACATTGGTAACATTTTGAGAAGGTTGTTTGAACGTAAGACTTTAAGTATAGGGCCAGGGATTTAGCTCAGTGGTACTGCTGCTTGCCTTGCAAGCACAAGGTCCCAAGTTTGATCCCTGATACCAAAAAAATAAAATATTAAGTGTAAATCAGGCATGGTGGTGCACATCTATAATCCTAGCTACTTGGGAGGCTGAGACAAGAGGATCCCAAGTTTAAGGTCAGCCTGGGCAATATGTCAAGACCCTGCCTCAAAGAAAAAAAAAAAAAAAAAGGAGTTGGGAAATGTATGTAGCTCAGAGC